AAACTTAAGCATTCTGATTTATATCGGCAAGAGACAGTTCTATTTTGATCAAAAGTAAATCTCTTTTCAATATCTACCAATTGAAAGACTGAAATATAGATATTTAAGAAATTAAATTGCTGAATATTACACATAAGACGTCTCTTCTGATAAATAATTGAACAGTTGAATATCTTAATTCAGATTTGACATTATTACAATTCTTAGAACAAAGTTTTAGCCATTGCGATAGTTTTTGTTTAATAGCATCCAGATCTTTATGTGGCCATTGAAAACTGATCTGAAAAAATATTTGAACAAAGTTTTCTTAACATCTATTATTTCAAATAAAAGTTAAGAGGAGAGAAAAGTGTTTACTATTTGAGAAAATTATTTTTGAATAGAAAATTATGGCTATTTCACATAGAAAATATATCATCAGTCGTGTACAGTGTTAGTCAACGAAAACTATTCGAAATACGGACACGAAAACTCTATGAGAACAGTGTCGTAAACTATCTTCTTTTGTATTATAGATGTGAAAATCTATTGTAAACAGTAATATTATTTCAGCCTCTCTCGAAAAAAAAGTACTTTTTTTTTCTAATAGTTCGCCTTCTTCTATACTTTATTATTTTATCTTCATTCAAATATCGATGAATACAACATAAGTTACATAATATATATGTATATATATGAAGCCTATTAAATTTGTTCATTGTTTTAGATAAAAACTTCCTTCCGCCTAATTCATATTTTTATCATATAATACGATATTTTAAACAAAAAGCAAAAAAATATACCGTAAGATGTAGCGTAAAAAGCTCTAAAATTTACAAAGAACAACTTGTTTTATACTTAAACTTTTTGTTTTTTCAATAAACAAAAGTTTGAGTCACAAAATTTTTGACATTTCAAAAAGATAACTTTCTGATGCATGGTCAATTCTTTTCTTTTAGTTTGTCAATTAGAAAATCTTTGTTTTTAACTTCTCATTAACCAAAGTACTAAGGAAAGAAATTTATTGTGTACCAAGAAATTTTTTTTTTCGAAGTATCAAAAAATTTATGATTCGAAATTTTTTTCCATTTTGAAAACAAAAAAAATGTAAATACAAAATTAAGTTGTTCAGCGTAAATTATAGAGCTATCCATGCTGAATCATGTGGGGTATTTTGTTTTTGTAACACACCGTATTAGGTGACAACAAAAACAAATTAATAAAAAAAGTACTTTTTTGTCCCAGGAAAAGTCGAAAAATCAATTTATGCACTAAATTCTCATGTCAAGAATTAACAGATTAATGACTCAACACAAAATCAATTTAAACTAGAAGAAACCATCTATATCAATAACTAAGCAAAGAAAGTTCTAATCGCTTGAACGACTTTGTATATTTGTTTTCTTTCTTTCACTCATCATAATATAAATAATACTTTCATTAGAAGGAAATCACTTCAGTTTAAACACTAAACTTCCACAGCTGTACATCTAATACCACACTCTTCTACACATTCTATATTTAAGTTTTGTCTTTCTGTAGATTTTTCAATTTTTTTAAATATTTTCAAAATATTCAGGAAAAAACAACTGATTTGAGAGAGATAATGAAATTAAATATCCATATTTGAATTTCAAAGATTTAATAACTACACATATTATACAACTTTTCATATTGTTCACAAATCGATCTTTAATAAATAAATGTAAATTCTTGTCAGATGTTTTTGAATTATAGTTTATTGATGAGAAAATGCAAAGAAGTAATAAAGGTTATAGTAGTCATTAGTTTTCTTTCATTTCCACAATTACATATTATTCTTAGATAAAGTAATTGTTTCACTAGAATACATATATATATTCTACAAAATCAAGGTTACTTTTTTTTCATTGTCCTATCATACCTCATAATGGAAGGCACTATTCAGGCTTTTCTTTGACGAAAAACATAGACAGTGAAAAAAAAAACAGATTTTCCTCGATTCTATTTATGTAAGTTAACGCATACATGAGTTCTAAAGACCATTGTGAAAGGATTATCTGCCAGACAAACTATCACATTCTGTTGATATGTAGGAATTATTTGTGTAAAAGTTATGCTTCCAGTATATAAGTGACATCATTGCAAAAGAAATGATGAGCAACTAGTTCATTTTGAAATAGTGGGAAATATCTATGTTTATGTTAGATTTATGGTCTAGTCCATACAAGAAGAAAATAATGGAGAATTCGATTGTAAAGATGAACAAAGTCTCGAAGCCAGCTATTTTCCACTAGAGCAATATGTTTTTCTCAAAGTATAAGCATAAGTTAGCAAACTATTTCGCCATTTCTGATCTTATCCTCTCTATTTCTTGATGCTATCGATTCTGTTCTTACTGTAATTTAATCAATAAAAAATTTAAGAAAAGATGACGATTTGAATTCAGCTTGTCGATTATTGTTGGATATCTGGTCAAATATACTATCGGAGTTAGAATTCGTCAGTTGTGATGAAAAAGCGAGAAACTATTAGGGACTAGTACTGAGAATGCATCTGAAATCAGTAAGGGTGTTGCAATCCTTAACCATATCTGAAAAGGAACCGAGTGCATAAGTGAAACTCATATGGTATTCATATCTAGCCGGAATAATCGTTCTGAACAATGTCTGTTGCCAACTCTGAGGGTGTGAGTGTGGGTGTAGGTGTGGAGATGGGGTGGGGGGATGTGGATGTGGGTAGTGTATGAGTATGGGATGTCTGGTATTTTCCTACCCCCACCCACATGCACACCCCACATCCACACCCAGACCCAGACCCACACCCACACTCACACCCACACCCACACTCACACCGACACCCACACACCCACACCCACACCCACCCACACCCACACTCACACCCACACCCAGCCACACCCACACCCCGAATCAATTATAATGATTCCTGATGTGAATAATTTTAATGCTCAGAGAAACCCTATGATAATCAGTTAATTCGATTCAAGATCAAAATACTACACAAGAACTCTTCATACAACAAACAAAAATCGCTATACAATGCAAACAGGACATGTTGAATCCTTCCTTCAACTTAGTCTTTCGTATTGTAGAAGATATTATTATGCTTTGATTTTTCTCGAAAATTTTGGACTAATTTCAAAAATTTTTCGAGTTCGAGATCTTATATGCTAATATCCCTACGGCCACTTGATAAGATTTTTCAGCAAAATCGAAAATTATACCGGATAATTCGTGGTAGCTATACACACCCACACCCTCACCCTTTAGTTAAAATTGACATTAAATGTTCATATACTTGTTTTGAAATGATATGAAGGCACTATAATATTGCCGTTATTCATAGCAATATGATGTTTCATTAAACTATAACCATCATTTTAAGACATATAAAAGTGCTTGCACTATACTACTATATATTTATAATATTATGAACACTTTTCCAATAACTTTGTCAAAAATTGTTATATTATCACATTACTATAAATTTATAAGTGTTTATAAAGACTCAATTAATTTATTCGATTATTAAAAACTACCAATCGCCTTTAGTATGCAACTTTCTACAACTGCCTCCTAACCATTGATAATTAAAAACTCTAAACGTCTCTCTATTTTCCTACTCCCTTATGAGAGATTATCTTATCTCTTATCTCTTTTTCGTTATTATTATTATTATTATATTTTTGTTATCATTTTTCTTTTGTGCTTTAAGAAATTTTTTATACAGAGCCCTGATGAGTGTATTTATTTTCAAATAAAAACACGAAACGCGTCGGCGAAGCTAAATTCTGCATTTACTTCATTATTTTTATAAGCACATCACTTACATTTGAAATATTATTTCGACAAGATAATCGGTTGCTGAAAAGCAAAATTTGGGATCAGCAGATTGATTTGTATTTTAGATATTCAAATTGGTCTGTTATACAATTGATTTACCCTGATGAGTGCTATTTGAGCAATAGTCGAAACCGGTCGTATGATTGCTTTGAATCTATCTACTATTTGAGTTTTTTACACACCCTTATCTTATATATTACGGAATATTTTAATGAATTTTGTACTTAATTCTTATATTCCTTTTATTCGAATTTAAGTTTATGTTGATAGCTTTTATAAGCTGTTATATTATACTTGTTCTTATAAATATATAGGTTTATTTGAATTTTGTCCAAAATTTATTTAAATTTATATGTAATAATAGATAGGTTCTAAACATACCTGACGAGTGCTATTTGAGCAATAGTCAAAATCGGTCGTATCATTGCTTTGAATCTATCTACTATTTGAGTTTTTTACACACCCCACACCCTAACACCCACCCTCACGCCACACCCACACCCTCACACCCTCACCCACACCCTGGTATCTTTACTGGAAATATAAAATGTGAACAAAAGCCAATCCCACCAAAAACAACCGGTGATATTCAACCCTTGGTTCATTATTTTTTATTCAGACCTACGAGAATAAAATGAATGAATCTCTTACCCAATAAGTAGCGAAATGAATGATTTTAATCATGGATGGATCGCTCTCCATCAAGAGCTGAATGAAATCCTTAATGTTGTCGCCAGACTTACAGCTAGCTTTCAAGCATATGATACATTTTAATTATCTCGATGAAAGGTAATTTCGAAATTGCGATTGTCGAGCAGGTTCTCTGAAGAACTTAGACATTGGCTGTCTGAAATACTTTAGAAAGATACTTCTCAGTACTCGATACTGCTAGGTCACGTATGAAGCGATTTCTATGAGGTCCGAATCGTGAGATCATCACTAGGCAAAATGAGTGGCAAAAATACATCCGTCGAGAAAGTAAGAAAGAAAAAATAAAGAAGTAAATTTGTGCACAAATACAGAAATGCAATGCTGCGCACCGCATTAAAAAGTAAATACGCGCAAGAATACAGAAATGGGATACTTCGCACCACATTGAAAATTTATAACAACTTTCCCACTTTCAATTCATATAGTTGCGTACCTCTGCTAGATAAAGCTTATTTCATTGGATGAATTATGGGATCCCGGCAATCGAAAGAAGCCAAACGGGAAGCGGCTATTCTTCGTCAACCTAAAAAGGGTGAGGCAAGTAAATTCTATTGGGCTTGTCGTAATGGTGACATTGAGACTGTACGACAAATTCTTTCACAATCTGATTATAATGAAATAAATCGTTTGGAACCAAATGGGAGCACTGCTCTTCATGCAGCTGTTTATTATGGTCGAACTGAGGTAGTTCGAATTCTTCTTCGTGAATATGGAGTGGAACGTCATCGTCGAAATCTACACAACCTCACCGCTTTTGAAGAAGCTGCTGATGACGAAATTCGACTATTATTTATGCGACTTGGAACTGATCGATTCTGTAGCAGAACCAACGATGAATGCGCTGATCTTTTCGCCGCTCAAACGAAGAAAGACCCCGCTGGCAACGACGATCAAGATGAAATTCCCAACGATACGTGGATTGCAGGTACAGAAAATGAAGCAGACACTCAGTTTCATCAATGGGTGACGGGAGTGATGACTGTCATGCTAAGTTCAAAGATTTTGCGGGCAATATTACTTCGATGCATGCGAATGTTAGCTGGTGACTCTGGAAAATTCGTGAGTTTTAGTGGATGCACGACCCTACTAAAAGAGTTTTTCAATCAGCATGTTCCATCTAATACGCTTGATTATCCCAAAGCTCAACAGTTATTTGAAGACTGTGAGTCGGAGAAGAAAATCTATCCTCTCCTTAAAATCTATACATTAGAAACTCCTTTCGTTAGGAAACTAGCGTCAGAAGGCACGAGTATATTCTTATGGTTTGCAATCCTTCTAAGACTTTCAACGACAACAGAACTGGCTTACGAAGGAATTTCTTATCGTGGATTAACGTTATCTGAAAAAGATCTTCAAGCATATCAGTGGGCTCAACGTCATAAAGGAAGCACTCTGGTTATGAAAACTTTTAGTTCAACAAGTGCCAAACGACAAGTAGCGGAAAACTTTGCGCAATCAGATGACTTAATAAGGGTAATAATGGAATTCAATTTTATTGAATCATGCCCAACAGCTCTGATGCTTTATAAAAAATTAGAAAAACATGAGCCGATATCCGATTATCCAAATGAGTATGAAATTCTTGTAATGCCATTTACTATGTTCCGTGTGACAAACATTGATAAAGATGATACCGATCGCTATGTAATTCATCTTGAATGTGTACCAGCAAAAATTGACGGTGATTTTTCGGCACTATACAACGGAGATGCCACAGCATTAATTGAAGCGGCTAAGAATTTCATCCGAATGCATACTAAAGACGAGTAAAATTACAATTTTCAGCTAACCAAAAGAGTGTACATGTAATATTTTTCGAATATAAATAAACATGACAATATTGTTCTTTGAATATCAAAAATATAGAAGTTATCTTGATCAATGCTGTCACCTCACTAAGTCGTTTGCTGTAACATGATGAAATCGTTGTAGATGACTCAATAGGTAAAACAAACGATCTTTATTACAGCAACTCAAAAAGTTCTTATGAAAGCATTGCACTTCGTAATAATAATAGAATATGATTAGAACAAATGATCTGTCGTATATGAAAAGAAAACAGAACAAGAAAAAGACTTTATGCGGTGATATGAAGTAAATGTACACGGATTTTGATAACATCTTCAGCAAAAAAAAGATCCGTCCAATTTCAATCTATAGTGGAAGCAACTTCTTCTACTGAAATAGACACTAATACTAACAGAGCGTTGTGTTCAATACAAACACAGTGAATACACGCGAACAAAAGCCAGCAAGGGTGTGGGTGTGAGGGTGAGACAAATAACCACAATAAAATTCAATAAAATTTTTGTTAATTTACAATTATATTTCGATTCTATTTAGTAGAATCAGTTATCAAGTGGCATAGATATAATACTTTGATTCGAAAATCAAAAACTAAAAATATCTAAATTAAAGAAATATCTAAAGAATATTTAGAATTTCTTTTACTCCATAAAGAGTGAGAAAAATAACGACAATAAAATGGACAAGTCTCGTAACAACATGCCATCAATTGGAGAAAATAACAATAAAGGTAATAAGAAATACATCACAAGACACACAATTAACGGAAAACATCGAGAGAATTCAGCAAGAATTATTTAATGTGCGACAAAATATCGA